AGTGAGATGAAATCTCAGTCTAGTTTTAATTTGTATTTCTCTAATTGCTAAAATGTTGAACTTTTTCACATATATTTATTGACCAATGGCATTTCTTCTTCCATGAAGTACCTATTCAATCCCTTTGCCCATTTATTGATTGGCTTATTTATTTGTTGTGGTGTTAAGCTTTTTGAATTCTCTCTAAATACTGGAGATTAATGCTCTATCTGAGGTGAAGGTGGCAATGATTTTTCTCTCATTCTGTAGGCTCTCTCTTTATGTTCTTGATTGTTTTTAAGGAGAAAATTTTAACCTCAAGTCTTTTTGAACTAAGTAGTTCTGCATGTAGTCTTGTTTCTACATGCCACAAAGGAGGACAGAGCTGCGGGCATTCCATGGTTTTTCATAGCAATATTTTTAAGAATTAATACCTGTGGTCTCTTCTTAAACTCCATGGCTTTCTGGGTTTTTTGTTTGTTTGTTTGTTTTGTTTTGTTTTGTTTTTTGGTATTGGAGATTGAACTCAGGAGCACTCAACCACTGAGCCACATCCCCAGCCCTTTTTTATATTTTATTTAGAGACCAGGTCTCCCTGAGTTGCTTAGTGCATTGCTAAGTTGCTGAGGCTGGCTTTGAACTCTAGATCCTCCTGCCTCAGCCTCGCGAACTGTGGGGATTACAGGCGTGCACCACTGCACCTGGCTGTTTTCTCCATTTAATAGCCACTTTTATTGAGTGATTATTTGCAACTAAATTTTCATATGATGCAGTAGCATCTATATAATGCACATGTGTGTTTCATCCTACAGATAACACCTTTGTATAGAGGTTAGGGTGTTAATATTAGGAACTCTAAGGAAAAAAATGCCTCAAGGTTACTATTTTGCACTAACATCCCCACTTTCATAAACATCAGCAAAATGAGAAAGCCCAGCATCCGTTTACAATTATTATAGGAGAAATGGGTAAAGTGTACAAGTGCCTGCCACAGGGTTGCACCGGTATTTGTCTTCTGCTTGGATTGGCCTAAAACTTAAATCAGTTGAGAAAAAAAAGGTGGACACTTGTAGTTGAGAAAACCGAAATGTTATCTGCTTGCTCCTAAATAATTCATGTCAGACTTATAGGTCTTGAATTTGAAATATTAATGTTGAGTTGAAGGGTTGGGGATGTAGCTCAGTGGTAGAGCCCTTGCCTAGCATGCATGAGGCGCTGGGTTCCATGCCCAGCACTGCCAAAAAACCCAAAAAACAAAAACATATACAGCTCAGTGGTACAGTGTTTGCCTAGCATGCTCAAGGCTCTGGGTTCTATCCTTAGCACCTCAGAAGAAAAAATATATTTGAGTTAACATTTAAACCATTTGTGTGTGTGTGTATTTTTTTTTTTTTTTTGTGCTGGGACTTGTGCATGCAAGACAAGCCCTCTACCAGCTGAGCTATATCCTCAGCCCTGTATTAAATACCCTTTAAGACTACATTTTGAGAACCAATTCTTAGAGACCCAGAAATATTCAAGGGCAGACTGTTCCTTAGAGTTTACAATTAGCTAATGTTGAGAGAAGTAAAAGGTGGTAGAGACTCAGGTCTCATGATTCCTAACTGGAGCAGCTGTTGTGGTGGAATGAATGATTACTGTTCTTTGGATCAGAAAACCCCAGCTCACGACCAGTTGAAGCCAGGTACTTTCTATTTACATGATCTTACAGAAGTAACTCTGTGTACCTCAGTTTCTTTGTCTATAAATGGAAATTGTGATCTTTCTCAGGGTTTTCTTATGGTTAAATGAATTAAAGTATGTGAATGTGTTAACGTTTTGAAAAGGAGTCAGTGAATCCAGTTTGAAATGATATCAAAATTGTTACCAAACAAGAATTAAAAACAGAAAGAAGAGTAGAAACCTAGGCTGATCTGGGATTCTAGGTAAAGAGCAGGGCAGTCCCATTAATTTGCTGCTGCTGAGACTTTGTGTCACTGTCCAGTACTCAACTTCCAGAAAGGGTTAATGCAGCCTGGCCTGCATCCAGTGCTCACATCTTCAGCAGGCCGCAGTTGGCACCTTGATTAAGGTTCCACTGAGGTTGCATCTAATGGAAGTGGGATTGCTTCTGCAGCACAAGACGCTATTGGGAGAAAAATAAGACACTATTGGAAGGGAGTGGATGCGGGGTTGACAGAAGCATCAGGATCATTCAAGCACTAAGCAACTTTAAGTATCCCTTGTGGTTTAAAATAATTTAACAACAGACTCAGAAGAGAGTACTTTTAAGAATCACTAATGGCTAATATAACTGGGAGTTCAAGGGAAACCAAAGAGCAAGAAGAGTTTAGAAGCTATCTGTGCTTGTCCATTACTAAAATTGATCATCAGAACACATTGAAATGTTACCCAAATGCCCATTGGCAATACAATGGGAAAGAAATTTTGTTATATTCACACAACAGTCTTTACCAAATTAGAATGGACAATCTCAATTATGCACAGCAATATGGATACATCCCTTAATCACAGTATCGAATTGAAGAAGGCAGATCAGAAGACTACATACCAAATGATTCCATTCATACAAGGTACAAAATAGCAAAAATAAGTTTTGCTGTTAGGATTCAGTGATTATAGCCACAAAGGATCATAAGCAAGAATGGCAAAGCTGTTAAGTCTGAAGATTAGTACATTTAATAAATATATTATAACATTTTGAATATTAAAGTATAGATACTGTTTTTTTATTGTTGTTGTTGTTGTTGTTTGGTACCAGAGTGCTTTACCACTGAGCCACATCCCCAAAGTCTTTTTATTTTTTTATTTTAAGACAGGGTCTCACTAAGTTGCTTAGGGTCTTGCTAAGTTGCTAAGGCTGGCCTTGAACTTGGGATCCTCCTGCCTCAGCCTCCTCAGATACTGGGATTACAGGCTTGGGCCACTGTGCCCTGCTTAATTTTTTTTTTTAACTCAGTGATTACATGGGAAAGATCAGAATTGTGACTGTAAAGTAGCAAGAGGGGAGATTCTGGGGTGTGGTCATGCTCTACTTGTATGGATATGTTCTATTGGTGGGTCACATTTCATTGAACTATATAGCTACAATATGTAAACTTTTCAATATGTATGATATATTAACCTTTTGTATTTGGTGGTGTTGGAAATCAAACTCAGGGCTTTGGGCATGGTAGGTAGAACCCCACCAGTGAGCTACACCCTTGAAAAGTTTTAAGTTTTTTTTTTTTTTGTTACCGGGGATTGAACTCAGGGGCGCTTGACCACTGAGCCACATCCCCTAAATAAGATACAAAACAGGGCTTATATCTTATTTAGAGACACAAGCCCTGTTATGTATCTTATTTAGAGACACAAGCCCTGTTATGTATCTTATTTAGAGACAGAGTCTCACTGAGTTGCTAAGGGCCTTGCTTTTGCTGAGGCTGGCTTTGAACTCTCAATCTTCCTGCCTCAGTCTCCCAAACTGCTGGGATTACTGGTGTGCAACACCAGGCTCGGCAAGTTAAAATTTTAATATGTACTAATACTCCCAGATAGATATTAAGTACTGAATAGTTTATGAGGTACCTGATCATGCTAATGTATATAACTATTCTAAAATATTCATTTCAATTTCATGTACACTTAGCCTTCAACAGCTCCTATAAATAAGTCAGGATTTTCTGTGAATTCTATTACGATTTTAATAGAATACCTCTAAATAAGTCAGAGAATATATTTCTTGACTCAGAGGTCATTCCTAAAGTGGTGACTTTGATTAGTTAATTTTCAATATCAAGGAATGACATTAAAATTATTTTCAAGAGAATTATAGTCAGCTAGTGGCACCTGCTTGTAGTCCTTGCTAATTGGGAGGCTAAGGCAGAAGGATTTTTATTTCAAGGCTATCCTTAACAACATAGTGAGACCCTGTCTCAAACAAACAAACAAACAAACAAAAAAACCCATGCCTGGTATTTTTACTTCTTTGACTTGCTGCTATTTCTTTTTCTTCTTCTTCTTTTTTTTTTTTTTTTTTTGGTGCTGGGAATTACACCCAAGTCCTGGCACATACTAGATAAAGTCTTCAAGTACTGAGCTACATCCCTCCAACCCTCTGCTATTTTCTTATCCAATGCACACACACACACACAAAAAAAAAAAAACCACAGACCAAAGACCAATTTTCCAACAATTTGAGGTAAAGTAAGATTAGGGAAAAGGAAAAACAATAGTTATTTTTTAGTTAGTTTTTAAAAATCACTTATTTTTCAATTTTTAAAATTCATTAAATAGTTAATTAATTTGGGTAACAGGGATTGAGCCCAGGGATTCTTAACCACTGAGCCATATCTCCAGTCTTTTTTTAATTTTTAATTTTAAGATAGAATCTCATTAAGTTGCTTAGGGCCTCACTAAATTGCTGAGACTGACCTTGAACTTATGCTCCTCCTGCCTTAGCCTCCCGAGTTGGTAGGATTACAGGTAAATGCTACCAGCCCCTTTCTTTGGGTTAGTGGGGTTTTTTTTGTTTGTTTGTTTGTTTTTTGTTGTTGTTGTTTGTTTTTTTTGTTTTTGCTACTGGGGATTGAACTTGGGGGCACTCCACCACTGAGCCACATCCCCAGCCCTATTTTGTATTTGATAGAAACAAGGTCCCAGGGAGTTGCTTAGCACCTTGCTTTTGCTGAGGTTGTCTTTGAGCTTGCAAACTTCCTGCCTTAGCCTCCTGAGGTGCTGGGATTATGGGCTTGCACAACTGCATCCGGCCTTGAGTTAGTTTTAATGCTCTTTCGCTCACTCTGTACTCTTACTTTTGTTTACATAAATGCAAGTACTTGCGGTGAGAGCATGTGATCTCAAAGAAGTCTCACCAGGAAGGTGAGCCATTCTCTGGGAGGTGTAGGATGCAAGTGGACATATATTTTGGGGTAGCATGGTTGATAGTGCACATTAAATTACAATTTACACAAACACATGGTGGTGGCTCTTTTATGTCATTCAAGGAAAGTGACATATTCTTGGTTTGTTTTGGGTAGATTCTGCCGTTCCTGTATTGCTACCAGTTTAAAGAACAACAAGTGGACCTGTCCATATTGCCGGGCATATCTTCCTTCAGAAGGAGTTCCAGCAACTGATGTGGCCAAAAGAATGAAATCAGAGTACCAGAATTGCACTGAGTGTGACACCCTGGTATGTGACATGCACATGTTCACGGTTACTGGCTTAGGTGACTGAAAAAATTACCACTTTTCCTGTGCTTTTCTTTTCTTTTCAAATATTTTTTAGTCATAGATGGACACATTATCTTCATTTTGTTTATTTATTTTTGTGTAGTGCTGAGGATTGAACCCAGTGCCTCACATGTTTGAGGTAGGTGCTCTGCCACTGAACCACAGCCCCAGCCCACCTGTGCTTTTTTGTGGTTGTTTTGTTTTGGTACCAGAGATTGAACCCCCAGGAGTGATTAACCACTGAGCCACATCCCCAGCTCTTTTTATTTTTTATTTTGAGACAGGGTCTCAAAATGTTACTTAGGATCTTGATAAATTGTTGACTTTGAAGTTGCGATCCTCCTGCCTCAGCCTCCTGAGCTGCTGGGATTATAGGCAAGCACCACTGTGCCTGACTTTGCCTTTGCTTTTGATCCCATTCTACTCAGCTTTTCTAAGTGCTTTATCTCAGCCTTTTTACTGGCATCTCTCCAATTTCATATGTATAGGCAGCAGATGAAACAGACCCCTGTACTATGTTTGCCTAACTTTTCAAATAATTTTTTTTTTCACCAAAAACTACTTGGGGTTGAATCCAGGGACATTCTACCACTGAACTACATCCCCAGCCCGTTTTTTTCTTTTTTTTTTTTGGTGGTGCTGGGGATTGAACCCAGGGTCTTGCACATGCCAGGCAGGCTCTCTACCACTGAGCTATATCCCCATCCTCAGCCTTTTTTATTTTTCATTTTGAGACAGGGTCTTGCAAAGTTGCCCAGACTGACCTTGAATTTGCTATCCTCCAGCCCAACCTCCTGAGTAGCTGGGCATATTTCCACCTATATTATTCTGATCCTTTCGTCTTTATTGATCACTTCCTCCTGGTTGTAATTCTCCACCTTTGGCACTATACTAGTCTGATCAGATAACATGGAGTCTTGGAGTTCATGTAAAAGATTCTAGATTTTGCTCTAAAGGCAATAGTAAGCCATAGAAAGAATGTGAGCATTTGAATGCCAAAATGGAGCTTATATTTTAAAGATAGTCCTCTAGTATGTGCATAAGGAATGAGTTTGGAGAGGATGAAAAGGGAACCTTGGAATCAATTAGGTGGCTATTATGCTAGGTCAGGTAAGGAAGCTGGATCAGGATGATGCATTCAGGTATGGAAAAAGAGATTGTTTCAAGGTATAGTTAGGAGATAGAATTGAAGGAAAATGGTATTTGACTGGTGTCATTAAATGAGAGAGGTGACATTAATAATTAAATAATTAAATGACATGAATAAATGAAGGTGCTAATAAGGTAGCAAATTTGAAGAGGAATCCACAGAGATATGTTTGGATATGTTAAGCTTGAGCTGCCCAGGGGAGATGCTGGGAGGGTGTATAGACATCCCAGTCCAGAGATCAAGAGATTTCTTTAGGGAACCTCTCTTGATGGTTAAATCTTTTTTTTTTTTTTTTTGTACTAGAGATTGAACCCAGTGGTGTTTTACCACTGAGCTGTATTCCAGACCTTTTTATTTTTTACTTTGAGACAGAGTTTCACTAATTGCTGGCCTCAAACTTGAGATCTTCCTGCATCAGCCTCCCCGAGTCCTGGGATTATAGGTGTGGTTCATTGCACCCAGCTCTTGACTGCTAAATGTAAACTGGAGCCCTGTCCCACTTTTCCTTAGAACCCTGTGCTCTCCCTTTATACTACTTACCACTCTTTTGTGGGTTTTTTTTTTTTTTTTTTGAGTTCCATTAGGGTAAAGATGTTGGCTATTTTGCTGATGGTACCTGTGCCCAGTCCTTGAAACTGGAATTTTGCCCCCATCATCCAGAATAGGAAGATAAAATTATCAAAATGGAATTTTAGAAAAACATAAAGCAAATGAAATCTAATTTCAGGAGTCTATATACAGGACTGTTCCTTGCTTCTCTGACTCAGACAGATTGGGGGCCAGCTGAGGGGTTAATAAAGATGGAGCACATTTCTTCAGCCACGAGCTCCTGACAAATTAATTCTTTCTTTTAAAAACTATTTATTTATTTTTTAGTTGTAGTTGGACATAATACCTTTATTTTATTTATTTAGTTTTATGTGGCACTGAGGATCAAACCCAGGGCCTCGAACGTGCTAGGCAAGTACTCTACTGCTGAGCCACAACCCCAGCCCCAAATTAATTCTTACTGTGGAGGCAGGAAGCCCCCGGAGCCAGAGTGCTGGCATCTTAGCTCTTTAGCTCTTGAGGAGGACAGACCCCCTGATTCTTTTTGCTTGGCCTTCCTGTTGGGTGGGGCCCTCATCCTCTTCGATTAGGCCATTTCCTTCTGCCTTGTTGCCCCAGAAACCTAGGTGGCTTACCTTCATGTGTCAGCCACAGCTGGGGCCTGGGTAGCATAGCACCTCCTCCAACACTGTACCACCACCTGCAAATTGGCTCATAGTCAGGGAAATGCATTTTATATGTTAATATAAAGCTTTTTGACTATTTATGTAATCTGTTCATGGCTACCTGACTAGAATTTATGCATGGTCTTTGGGGTTCAGACACCCTGAGATCAAACACTTAATTCTCTCAATGCACTCAGTATGATTTTGGGCAAGTTATGAGTCTAAGTTTTAGTTTACCTTTTTGTAAAATAAGGGGGAAGATAATGTTGCTACAGAGTTGTTGTGAAGGTATATTATATATGTCTTTTAGCATAATATCTGGAATATAGTAAAGTAAAAATCAAAAGCTTTTTACATTTTGGAGAAGAGATTATCGCTTATTTTCACTTATTTTGTCATCATATAAAATTTAGCATGTACAAAGTCAAGCTCATGGTATTCCATCACCCACTTCCTTCCCTCACCATTGACATCTGTCAGGAACAACAGCATTCTCTGCATTATCCTGGTAGAAATCTTCTTCCTTTTTTCAACCACCACCCCCGTATATGATTAGTCACACGGATTTTGATTTATCTTTGAGGAACTTATTGCATATATCTCTTCTTTTCTATGCTATTCCTGTTGCCAGGTATGCTGCATCTTTCTATGGCCATTTTAGACTTGGCTTATTCTTCAGAGTCTGGGTCAGACTGCCACTTCTCAAGGCCTGGCCATGGTATCTCACTGTGCCCTATTAATTTCCTGTGTATCTGTGCAGCCTTCTTCCTCTGTTAGATTACCAGCACCTTTAGAGCAGGCATGTGATTTATGTTTCTTTTGCCATGGCAATGTACAGTGTCTTAGATAATTTTGCATGTAGACCACGAGCTTATCAATTCATCTATTCGTATACAGTTCCCAGATCAGCAATTTTCCTGAGGAATGCTTATCTTTTTGAACAAAGAGTTCAAAGAAAAAGACATGTTTGTTAACAGAAGTAGTAAGGAGATTAGAGGACTTTAATGTATAAAGCTGGATGTTAAAGGTTGTAAACACATCTGTAAAACAACCAACTATGTCAGCCCTTGTTTTTATGTTTTAAACAGATATTGTAAAGCAAGGCTTATGGTTTTACTTTTTTACTACCTTTTATTTTGCCTTTTGTTCAACAATGATAACTGTTTCCTTGACACAGTAAATTTCACATTTGAGGCTGAACTTCCGCAGCTTGGGTAAAATGAAGCACAGTGGGTTTACTACTGTACCACAGCTGTACAAAGCTTCCTTTAGTACAAGATCTTATCAGAGTTCTAATGAAACCTTTGGTAGAATGTGTGTTATGTTAGCAACAGATGCCTCATGGTTAGCATCTCTGAATGTATGTCTGTAGGAACAAGGGCTCTTTATTCTGCATTAATAAAAATGCACTGCAAGAGCTGTTTTTTATGTTTGCTCTTCATGGGACCATTAAGTATGCTATGCATTGTGAATTCATATAGTGCTACTGGGTATGTTATAAATCCATGGTATTTATACCTTTACTAAGGCACAGGGTTTCTTACCATTTTTTTTTCCTTCGGGTACCAGGGATTGAACTCAGGGAGACTTGACTACTGAGCCACATCCCCAGCCCTGTTTTGTATTTTACTTAGAGACAGGATCTCACTGAGTTGCTTAGCGCCTCGCTTTTGCTGAGGCTGGCTTTGAACTCTTGCAATTCTCCTGTCTCAGCCTCCTAAACCTGGGTTCATCTCTAAAATTCATATATTTATTTTTCTCGCCTCTCTTTACTTCTTTTCTGTTTCTTCTTCCTTCTTAATTTTTTTCCTTCCTTCCTCCTTTCTCTTTTTCTTTACCAGTTTTCTTTCTCTTCTCCCCCCCCCAATCTATTTATATAATGGCATGCAAAAAACAATTTTCAGTTACTATACTTCTTTTCACTTTAAAAGAATAATGCTTTTTACTAAATATGTAAGTCCTCTAAGTATTGGAGAGACTTAAAAATAGCATTATTCTTCATCATGCCTCACTCTGTGGTACTGTTTCATGAATGCATCCATTTATTCAGCTGACCCCTTGGTATGGTTTAACTTGAAAGTTATAAAGTTGGGTCACACAAAACTCCTTTTCAACAATGAGCTTATTTTGAATTTGCTTTTCCATAGGTTTGCCTCAGTGAAATGAGGGCTCACATAAGGACTTGTCAGAAGTATATCGATAAGTATGGACCACTACAAGAACTTGGAGAGACAGCAACAAGGTTTGTTTTAATACAGCATAATTTAGGGCTAAATTTGATATATCTATAAAGAATTTATGATCTGGAAAGTTTGACATTTTTTATTATGAAAATATGGGGTTATGATTAGGTTCGTCACCGTAATACCTGGTGCAGGTGATTGTTTGTTAATAGTGATCATTTTCAAAGAATTTTGCTCTATTTTAAAAGTTGCATAGGGGAAACCAACTGGAGACATTGGGGTAACTTCCTCAAATGAGTTTGTATTAAGGAAGACCAAAAATAGAATGCAGAACTTAAATTTATGCTAAGCTCTGTTCTCTAATAGATTCCTGAAGTAGTTTGTGATGAAAAGATTATTCACCTTTACTCTTTTTTTTTTCTTTTTTTTTTTTTTTTGGGGGGGGGTGGGTACCAGGAATTGAACTCAGGGGCACTCAACCACTGAGCCACATCCCCAGCCCTATTTTGTATTTAATTTACAGACAGGGTTTCACTGAGATGCTTAGCACCTCGCCATTGCTGAGGCTGGCTTTGAACTTGGGATCCTCCTATCTCAGCCTCCTGAGCTGCTTGGGATTACAGCTGTGCACCACTGCACCCGGCTCATCTTTAATCTTTCTTAAAATACTATTTTATTTCTTTACATGTGAGTTGTAACTCTTTTTTTTTTTTTTGCACCAGGGATTGAACACAGGTGTGCTTCACCATTGAACCACCCATTGAACCACATCCCCAGGCCTTTTATTTTTTGAGACAAGATCTCACGAAGTTGCTTAGGGCCTTGCTAAGTTGCTAAGGCTGGTCTTGAAACTGCAATTCTCCTGCCTTAGCCTCCCAAGTCACTGGGATTCAGGCCTGCATCACCATGCCCAACTCATCTTTATTCTTTTTTTATTTTGTGGTACTAAGGAGTTAACCTAGGGGAGTTCTATTACTGACCTATATCTCCAGCCTTTTTATTTTTTATTTTGAGACAGGGTCTCACTAAGTTGCACTGGCGGCCTCAAACTTGCAATCCTCCTGCTCCAGCCTCCCGAGCTGCTCAGATTATAGGTGTGTACCACCACACCTGGCTCATCACCTTTCCATCACCACTGCTTGGTTTCCCAGCTCCTTCTCTCTCATTTTGCTAGTTTCCTTTAGAAGGAAGTGGCATCTCAGTGTATCTTCTAACAAGGGAAGAACAGGCCTGGGACAGGTATCATGATTCCTTTGCCTTTTTGGTTGGGTGATCCCTATGTGGGGCTGAGGAAGGGTGGAGGTGGTAGTCAGTGTAACGGAGGACATTGATTATTAACTATTTTTTTTCTTTAAAAAGGAGAAAGAAACAAATCCCTGATGGGAAGGATAGTTTAGTTGTATCAGAGTAATTAGAAAATTTGACATATGTCCCTGTTAACAAAATTAAGAAGTGATTTGTAATCTCTTGCTTAGGTCATGGCTTTGAAACCATTAAATCTACTTATGCACAGTTTCCCGCCACTGGTATTCAGTATAAGTATAATTTCTTTCTCTTTCCTGAAATTTTAGTTCTATGTATTTTAAGAAATATACTCAAAGTAGTAAACATCGTAACCTAAAGTCTAAGTGATCACCCCTTTCCTTTTGTTCTACTAGACACTGCCTTGCAGATGTACCTGTTCTTACAGATTAGTTTCACACTATGATGTTATACATCTTAAATGAGCACTGTAGCTATAAGCAGACTTTGGCTTCTGCAAGACTGACCACAAGGACCCTTGAGAAAGAAGGATAATAAGTGGGTTAAGAAAGTGTGTGGGTTTGATTGCAAGGTAGATGGGCTTTGTGAAAATTTAAAAATATATGAAAGCTAATTTAAATCCTAATTTCTTTTGCTGGTTATAATTACATAGTAAAGAATTTTTAAAATAGATGGAAGTGGAGTCGTAGCTCATCGGTGGAGTGTCTGGGAGGCCCTGAGTTTTATCCCCAGCACTGAAAAAAGAAAAAGAAAGAAAAGAAAATGAGGAGCTTGTCAATTAGTTTTATAGGCCAGATTTATATTTTCATTTATGATCGAAATCTTTGCTTTATAGAAGAATTAACTGCATGATTCAAATATTGACAGCTCTTTTTTTTTTTTTTGAATTTTTTTTTTTTTTTAATATTTGGCGGACACAACATCTTTGTATGTGGTGCTGAGGATAGAACCCAGACCGCACGCACACCAGGCGAGCGCGCTACCACCTGAGCCACATCCCCAGCCCCTTGACAGCTCTTATACAGGAAATTTTTCCAGAGTAACAGTCTCGGGAAACAGGAAATGACATGTATAATGGAAAAGGAGCAAAAGCTTCAAGCTTCCGTACTGTTGCTAAGAAATTAAGGCAATGTTGTCTAATAGAAATGATGTTGATCACATTTAATTTAAAAATTTTCTAGTAGCCACATTCAAAAGATTAAAAGAAACTAGTGAAGCCCTGTGTGGTGGGGCATGCCTACAATCCCAGCCACTTGGGAGGCTGAGGCAGGAGGACCGCCAAGTTTAAGGCCAATCTCAACAGCTTAGTGAGACCCTACCTCAAAATGACACATATTAAGGGCTGAGGAGTTTGGTAGAACACCCCTGGGTTCAATCCCCAGATACCCCCCCAAAAAAAAATAATAGAAAAGAAACTAACTTTTAATATATTTTCTTTTAATATAATATAGTCAAAGTATCATTCAGACATGTAATCAGTATAAAAATTATTGAGATAGTTCACATACCCTTTATTACATTAGGCTTTGAAATTTCAATACGTAAACTCAGTGGATGAGAACTTGCTCAACGTGCTCAGCACGTAAGCCTTGGATTGATCAGTGTGTATTTTATACTTCCAGCATATGACAACTTGGACTAACCGGATTTCATATGCTTAATAGACATATTGGACAGCACAGATGTAAGGGATAGTTACTAAGAACTCCTGAGGACAGCTGCAGATGAATTTTCATTCTTCATTGGAAACTAAGAATGTGTAATGGATACCCCTTAGTGATGCTCGTGGAATTGGAGAACAAATAACACTCATATCATATGGTACTTGAATTAGGAAAGAAAAGAAGAAAAAGGTAACTGAGAGCTGGGTGCTGTGATCATCAGTTTCTCAGTTAATGGGTGCTGGATTGCACTTCTCTCCCAAAAGGAATAAAGAGCTTCTATATAACTCTCTGCCCTGTCCCTGTTAGCACACACATTTACATTTCTCACAGGGAAAAACCTAGGCACCAGCAACATTATCAGAAAAATAGTATTAAATCAGAAAAGAACTAGAATTAGATAATCTACCTAACTTCTCCTCCTTCATTTCCACCTAAGTGATTGATTACTCTCTAGCTGCCCACGGTTTTAGTAATGTTTGGAATTCTACTCATGTTTGCAATTTCCAGGTGTGTATGTCCGTTTTGTCAGAGGGAACTGGATGAAGACAGTTTGTTGGATCATTGTATTACTCATCACAGATCAGAAAGGAGACCGGTGGTAAGGACTTTTATGACCATGTCTTTTAGCAGTGTTTCAATTTAAGATGCATTAGAAAATCCATTTAATAGATTTAGTTTCTTCTTTTAACTTCTCCCTCTCCCTCTCTTTCTTGTTTTTATGTGTATGTATGTGTTTGAAGACTGAACCCAGGGCCTCATGCAGGCTAGGCAACTACTGTACCACTGAGCTACATCTTCAGCCCTAGAATTTTAGACTCATTCGTTCTTACTCTGCTTTCACTGTTCTCACACATGGTTCCCTAGTAAGGGAAGTCTAGCAATAAACAAATAATATTGAATCCTTTTAAGAAAACATTTAAAATTCCTCCAGGAAGAAAAAACTTGCCCATTTTGAAGCACAATACCCCCATCATAAATGTAAGTTTTTAAGTGTCTTACAAAGTTAAGAGCAGGGGTAAGAATTTTTTTTTCATTTAAGAAACGTTGTTAATTTTAAGAAGCCTAAGACATTCTGTTATTCTGTCTTTCTCTCTGAAGTACTTTTATTTTTTATATCAGACAGGGATATTTTCTCCTGACATTTCCAAGGACTCTCACTCTCTTTGACATTCCAGAAAAGGAGACCAAGTGGACCACAAAAGAAGAAGCGTTTTTTAATAGGCTCTCTGTAAAGCATACAGTCCTTGAGTACTAATTCCTTGTGAATCTAGACTGTTCTAAAGATGGTAACTGCTTTATAAAGTTTTCCAAAATGAAAAAAGGCTTTGTTTTCAGACCTCTCAACATCTTAACTTTCCATCTGTATCTATTGATGTTTCTCTTACCCAACAGTTAAAATAAAATACAGTGCTCCAAGAATGTTTAGGTTCAGGGAAGGATCAAGCAATGGTGCACATCTGTAACTCAGGAGGCTGAGGTAGGAGGGTTGCAAGTTGGAGGTCAGTCTGGGCAACATAGCAAAAGTGTGTTTAAAAAAAAAAAAAAAAGCAGTTTAAAAGGGTGGGGATATAGTTCAATGGTAAAGCACCCCTGGGTTCAATCCCCATTACTGGGGGAAAAAAATTAACAATTATTTTAGATAATTGAATGCTATCAGAGCTATTCATTATTTAGCATTTTACTAGTTTTTTTTAAAAAAAGATTAAGACATACTCTGGTTTGATAATGATTCTCAGTAAAATAAAATCCTTGAGAGACTTTTCTCTGTAGGTACTGGAATTAAGAAAGGTGATCCTCGGGCTGGGATGTGGCTCAAGCGGTAGTGCGCTCGCCTGGCATGCGTGCGGCCTGGGTTCGATCCTCAGCACCACATACAAACAAAGATGTTGTGACCGCCGAAAACTAAAAAATAAATATTAAAATTCTCTCTTAAAAAAAAAAAGAAAGAAAGGTGATCCTAACCACAACCTAGGTATTACAGCCAGAATTTCAAACTTATTTCCTTCTATTTCATCTTTTTTTTTTTTTAAAGGAAATCACATTTTCTTTAAGGCAATGTTTCTCAACCATTCTGCATCAGAATCACCCAGAGGGCTTGCTTAGGCAGAGATGCCTGGGTCCTGCCCACTAGAGTGTCTGATTTAGTCAGTCTGGGCTGCTGTCAAAGAATAAAGAATTTGCATTTCTTTCTTTCTTTCTACTTATTTTTTTTCCCAAAGCTGGACATTAAACCCAGGGCCTCATACTAGCGATCTACCATAGAGCTACACCCCCAGCCCCCACATTTGCATTTCTAATAAGTTCTCTCAGGTGATGTGGATGCTGGTTATTTTGGGCATTTTAGTTTCTCAAGAGAAGAGAACAAATAATGAAGATTTATTACATGCAAAGGGACAATTTGTAATCAACAGGCCCAGGACCAGAAAATATAAACCCCAGGACTATGAGAGGTCAACTGAAGGCACCAGTAGGAAAGGATGAGGCTCTTCCCTAAACTATCAGCTCACTATTCTGTACCAGCAGATGTCCTCATCTGCTGTGGGTTGGCCTACGTGGCAAATGGACTGTGAGCTCATCTACTGAGGACCTGCCCTCTGGGGTAATTTTAGAAATAATTCTCAAACCCCTTTGCTTAAAGTTCCAGGTTTTCATTATCTCTGTCCTCCACCAGATTCTAACAAGCTCCTTCATGGTTGGGACCAGGGCTCAGTAGTCATTTCTGACTTCTGGCTCTTGGCACAGGGAATACAGAAACCATGTTAGCTGCTCAAGTAAATATATTTTTTTTATATTTATTTTTTAGTTTTTGGTGGATACAACATCTTTATTTTATTTTTATGTGGTGCTGAGGATCAAACCCAGTGCCCTGCGCATGCAAGGTGAGCCCCTTACTGCTTGAGCCACATCCCCAGCCCTGCTCAAGTAAATATTGAGCAAAACTGGTCCCAACTTATTCTCCCAAAGTCATCTCCAACTACTTCCACCAACATACCCTACCTTCAGCTACGTTGAGTTTTTGCCATTGCTTAAGTTGGCCCTGTCCTTTTAGGAGTTCCTGCTTTGTCTACATCCTTTCCTCTGCCTGTGATGGTTTCCCCCACTGGCCTGGTTAGCTTATTCTTTAAAACTCACCTCTGTGACCAGCAGTTCTGGTGAGCCTGTCCCGACTGCCTAGGCAAAATCAGTGATTCCCTTTTCAGGTCCCTTGTCCAAGGTCTTGAGTTGTTGTCTGTTTATATCTTGAATGTAGTACCTGCTGTGCTGTATTGAAAGTATCTGCTTAACCCATAATGGCAACCTTTTATTACTATGCCAAGGACTGGACTTCATAATATTACACAATATATTATTTTAAACTTATCAATAGCCCTGGAGCATAGGAATATACTCATTTGCAGATTAAGATTAATTATTTGCCAAGGATATTTTAGTGGGAAGTTGAGATGAAATTGGAAACTATCTTCTGGATACTGGAAATACTGGGGTCAATACAACAAATGTGGTTTCTTTCTGCAGGGAGCCCCAACTCATTGAGGACAGGAATCATATAGAAGTAAATGTATGACAATTGTTGAGTTCCTAGTACAGATATGGTTCATTAAGGACATTGTCTCTAAATACAACAGCTACCTTGCAAGGTGTGTAGTAGTTTCCCCATCTCATAGAAGAGGAAATAATATGCCCAAGGTCACACATCCAGTATGGTTTGAATCTAAAGTTGTCTGGACTTCAGAAAACTATGTTGTAAGCCAAGGGTGGTATAATTATATTGCACCAATTTTAAAAATAAATACATAGGAGGTGAGAGTAGAGGAAGGGGATCCTAGGTAGGGAAAGGGGAAGTACTAGTGAATGAAATGGACCAAACTATGTTTTGTGCATGTGTGAATATGTCACAGTGAACCCCACTATCATGTATAGTTATTATGCACTAATAAAAACAAAAGAGTTATTTTATTTTTTTTTATTATTTTTTTTTCAAAAGAGTTATTTTAGTCATTAGGGAAATGCAAATTAAAACCATAGCGAGACACCACTACACACCTATCAAAATGGCTAAAAAATTTTGACAACATCAAATACTGGTGAGAATGAGGAAAAACTGAGTAATTCACACATTGCTGCCATGATGTAAGACAGTATAGCCACTCTGGAAAACAGTTTGGCAGTGGGTTTTTGTTGTTGTTGTTATTTTTTTTTTTAAGTTAGACATACACTTACCATATGACCAAGATTTCAAACTTCTAGAAATTTATCTTAGAGAAATGAAAACTTACTTTTATACAAACATCTGTATACAAATATCCGTTGCATTTTCACTAGTAACAATCCCAAATTGGAAACGATCCATATGTCCTCTAAAAGGTAAGTGGATAAATAAATTGGGATGTCCATACCATGGGCTATTTCTTAGAAATGACAAGGAAGGAACAACTTAGACGGCCCTCATGGTCGTTGTACTCAGTGGAAGAAGACAATCTCAAACAGTTAAATACTGTCTAGTTCTATTCATACAGCATTCTCAAAACGATGAGATTATAGAGGTGGAGGACAGATCAGTGGGTGGCAGGACTTATGGAGGGAAGAGGAAGTAAAAAGATAGCAGCACAGTGCAGTTCCTTTGTAGTGGCAGGAAGATTTTGTGTTTTGATGTGACAGTGGTTATACGAATCTCTACATGTGATACGATTTCATAAAACTGCACATATACATTTAAAAATTGAATATGTGCAAAAACTGGCAGAATGTAAGGTCTGACCAGTTTAATTTCACATCATGTACAACCACAAGAATGGGAAGTTACACTCCATGTATGTGTAATATGTCAAAATACATTCTACTGTCATGCATAATTAAAAAGAAAAAATAAAAAAATTAAAAGATAAAAATAATGTAAGGTCTGAGCCTAGTTAATTGCCAGTTTCCTAGTTTCAACAATGCACTATGCTGATGTCAGATGTTACTATTTGGGGAAGCTGGATGATAAGGACATGGGACCTCTGCACTACCTTTATAATTTCTTGCAAGTTTATAAATATGTCAAAATGAAAAAAAAAATGATACTGGGGTTTGAATCCAGGGTTACTTTACCACTGAGCTACAGCTTAGTCTATTATTTATTTATTTATTTATTTATTTTGGTACAGGGTTTTCCTAAGTTACTGAGGCTGATCTTGAACTTATAATCCTCCTCCTCAACCTCCTGAGTCCTGGGGTTACAGGCATGTATCATGGTACCCACAGAAACATATTTCTTTAAGAGCCCTAAATGGCTATTAAATTAGAAAAATATGTGTAAATATTAATAACTAATTCTGGTATTTTGTAACCTGTATTGCTATTGGCAATACAAAAAACTACAGAGCAATAGATATTATAAACTGTAAATGTTCAGCAGTTTTGTCGTAAGTATCTCCATTTCTGGCCTAAATAATCCCCTAAAAGGTGCACACCATAGAAAATGTCATTTGTAACATCAACTTATCCACATACCAAAAAAACTAAGTATTTCAAGAGGTAGGCAACTAATTCAGTAAGTTATGGTCCATCTACTAACTAATATTGTTTAAATAAAAAAATTATGCCTATGGCCAGGCATAGTGGTACACACCTGTAATCCTAGCAACTTGGGAGGCCAAGGCAGGAGGATTGCACATTAAAGGCCAGCTGGACAACTAGCAAGAACATGTCTCAAAATGAAATTTAGAAAGGGCTGAGGATGTACTATAGTTGTAGAGCACTTGCCTAGCACATGCAAAGACCTGGGTTCAATCCCCAGCACTGCCAAAAAAAAAAAAAAGATTGATTAAATTATGAAGCAGTTTAACTTTATATATGCAAACAGACAAGGAATAATTTGAAGAAATGAATGCAATTTTGTTTGTTTAATATTGTTTTTAATAGTTATGCAGTTTAACCCTACAATATTAAGATAGAGTGAATGGAATTATAAAAGTTAAAATTTACTTTGAATAGTTACTTATTTTTTTTTAATTATAATGCTATTAATTAAAATTCTTTCTTGAACTCTTGGTGTTGGTTCTTTCCAGTTCTGTCCACTTTGCCGTTTGATACCCAATGAGAATCCAAGCAGCTTCAATGGCAGTTTAATAAGACACCTGCAAGTTAGCCACACTTTGTTCTATGACGATTTCATAGTAAGTATATTTTCTAACTTTCACATGATATTTTTATGCTGTGTATGTTAAACTTACCTTTTAAATCCAAGTGAATAAAATTATAGAAGGAAAAATGTGTTTGTAGCTAATGGGTTAAGTATCAGCATTAAGAATGAAAACATGAAATTCAAGTATTTTATAAATTTGACTATTGATATTAAAGTGGTTTTCTATCCTGGACAAAATTATTTTCTTTGTGATCTAGGTAATCATGCATTGTAAATATATTCAGATTTAATTTTTAAATTATTTTAATTTTTATTGTAGTCCCTCCTTTTACATAGTTTTTATTTTTGTGACATTGTGGACTTACATAGCAGAGATGCTCAGAGTTCTATATCCAATTACTTTTCTGAGTACATTGAATATCTATAACAGATATGATATTATCAGGCTAGTAACACTAGCCTTCTCATTTTTTATTTAAATTTGATAAAACATAAAACTATTGTTTATTTTAAACATTTTTGGGGCTGGGGATATAGCTCAATTGCCTCACATGCACAAAGCCCTGGGTTCAATCCCTAGCACCATAAAAAAAAAAAAAAAAATTGTACTCAGAATTGGACCCAATTACCACTGAGTCACATCCCAGCCCCCTTTATTTTTTTTATTTTGAGACAGGATCTTGCTAATGTGCTGAGGCTGGCTTTGAACTTGCAATCCTCCTGTATCAAGCTTCCCGGCTGAAATTTTTAAACTTAAAATTTATTACAAAAAATTTTAAACATGAAATTAGACAGAAAAATATAATGAAACTTGATATACTCATCACCTAGCCTCAATTACCAAACCATGGCCAATCCTGTCATGTTGAATATTTTGAAGATGGAGGTATAGTTACATGTAGTATGAATAGTTTTAATATTTTTAAATATATTTCTCATTGTCAGAAATGATAATAGCAAGCAAATGGTTTTACTTTGGTCCATGTGTTGTCATGTGTGGAGAATGCATTGTCTCCTAAGTTTCAGCAAAAAAGTGTTAACATTTATTAATGTAGTGGGGGGAGTTATTACTAGTATTTTATTCTGAAATAAAATATTTTATTGTAATGGAGTCAAGTTTGGATTTGCACATAATTTTCGAATGTTTTTGATTGTTTTCTTTTTATACAATTTCAAGATACCATTTAATCATTGTTGAGGACTATTGTTTGAAAATTTTCTCCCTGCTTTCTTATTCATTGTGGTTATCCACATTGGACCCAAGGAGCTAGGTTCTGAGTTAGGTCTAAGTAATAACTCTCAGGCTGAGCAACCTTGGGGAATGTATTTAACCTCTGAATTTCAGTTTGTTTATTTGCAAAGTAGAAGAGTAAAAGCACCTACTCTAAAAAGCTCTTGTGAGGATTAAATGAGAGTGCATAGAAAGTTGTTTATTTGCACAGTTCAGGCACAGATGATAGGCAAGTTGAAGACTAGCAAGGAATAAGTGGGATTATTAGGACCACTTAAAGAATTGCACAAGGCACGTGACAGAGGCTAAATATTCTCTGCTCAGCTTCTCTAATAGTCTTTACTGGCCTCATGTGGTACACAAGTCCTCAGCATAACCTGGTTCTGGTCCTGTGTTCTTGTCAGTAATACAAAGGGATTCCTCTTTATCTAAGCTCTTTAAGATGTTCTAAAAGCCAGATTGGTTGTATGCCTTTCTGGCCAGTAATGTTCAGTCCATCTTTATCAAGATCTTTAGAGAAAGTATGACTGGTCACTTTGAGAATACTTTCTCACTACTCAAAACCATCTTTATGGGTATGGAAGTGAACTTGAATTGATGTTATTTTGATTTCTGTTTTTTAAGCTACTAGATAAACCATGTATGTACTTTATGCATATTATTTTACTGCTTCCAGAAACTCTCTTAAGGTGAAATTGTATTTTTATCCTCATTTAACTGTGAAATATCTGAAGCTCAAAGGCTAAGAAAATTGCCTAAGAGTAAGCCAGTAATGAGACCAGACTGGTGCTCCACTGTGCTTTGGATTTTGCTTCTGTGTTTTAAAGTGGTCTTCCAGGAGATTTCACTTTTTGTTGGTTGTTTATTGTAGAAGAGGAGAGAGATTGCAGAGGATGGGGCTCATAATACTTTATATTTTATTAACAGAATGTGTTAGTATCAAGTTTTGAATTCCATTTGACTCATGGAGAGACAATAAAAGACATTTTTTGTTTTTTTTTTTGAGAATTTTAATATTTATTTTTTAGTTTTCGGCAGACACAACATCTTTGTTTGTATGTGGTGCTCAGGATCCAACCTGGGCCGCACGCATGTCAGTCGAGCGGGCTACCGCTTGAGCCACATCCCCAGCCCCTGGTTTTGTTTTTTTTTTAATAAATAGATATTTAGTAGTACTGTTGGCATTGTGAATACTAGGGGGAGATATATCTACATCTCTATATATCTATCTGCTTGTTTCCCTGCAGCACTAGGGATAGAACCCAGGGTCTTGCACATGCTAGGCAGGTGTTCTACCATCGAGCTATGCCCCCAGTCCCTTAAGGGATGTTTTAATTTACTCCATTTATGTGTTATATGTTATGTGAAGTATAGAAGTCTGCCCAGAATTTTTAGCATTGTCTGTAAAATTGTTAATTAGGTCAGATAAAACTTGAAATTCCAAATCAAGACTATTTTATTATGACAGGAACTAGTTAATTGCTAGTCCAGTAAAGGGAAATAGAAAATGTTCTAGCTCTAAAGCTAAAGTCCCGGGCTTAGTGCCAGGCTTTGTGAAACCTTGAACAAGTCAGGTAGCTCAGGATTTTAATTTCCTGAAAAATGAGGTCTTTGCATTGACCAACATTGTCCATTTCTCTTTTTGGTACCAGGATTGAATCCGGGGATACTTAACCACGGAGCCACATTCCCAGCCCTTTTTATATTTTATTTAGAGGGAGGGTCTCCTTAAGTTGTTTAGGGGCTCACTAAGTTGCTGAGGCTAGCTTTGAACTTGTGATCCTCCTGCCTTAGCCTTCCAAATTGCTAAGATTACAGGCATGCGCCACTGCAATATCCTCCAATTTCTGATACACTGTTAATTCTGCATATTTCTAATTATTTTTCTTTATTGTAGGATTTTAATATAATTGAGGAAGCTCTTATCCGAAGAGTCTTAGACCGGTCACTTCTTGAATATGTGAATCACTCGAACACCACATAATTTTATTAAGAGGAAGGGGAAAGGGACCACTCAATAGCAACATTTAAAATGCTGCTTGAACAATTGGAGGGAAGTTGTCAAGGTTTGATGGAGAAAAATGTATAACCCAGTTATATGTTTGTCCATTCTTATTGTTATAGTGCATTCAAAAACTGCTTTCATTTTGATGGTTTAAGTCTGTTTTTCATTCTTGAGTTTCTCAGACATTTAACAAGAAATAGTCTCTGTCCGTCATTAATTATGGAAGAAATACAGGCTGAGTATGTAGGTGGAGGATCTCTATTTGTGAAAGGGATGACATCATTTGGAATGCGACATTCATAGTTAGGCAAGACAACTGATCTTTGTTCTATGTAAAAAGAGGAAGAGTGGAACAAAGTGTAGACACTCAAGAAATATGAAATCTGTTCCAATGATTTTTTTTCTAATCTTTAATAAAATAACATGATAATCTTGTATGGGAGTAGGAAAGGAAATTTTGGTGTCAGCAGTCCATTTAACAGATATTCTATAACAGATATTACATAATACTATAACAATAAATTCTGTGTTAGAAACGTATGTAATTCCTTGACTTGTTATATCTGAACACATAAGAATTTATTATTATATTTTTTAAATATTTGTAGCTTATTATTTAGAAATTTCTATAATATAGATAATTTCTTAAGAATCATCAGTTGATATTTACAGTAAAAGGATTTATACCCATCATTTTTAATAGAAACCCTAAGGGCTTTATTTTAAATTTTAACCTTTTAAAATTATAAAATAAAACACCAATGCTGAAAAACAGACACAAAATTTATAGCTAATGCATTATTGTAAGAAATATTCTTTTAGAACTCTGCTAGTCAACCCATTTGTCCTCTTGTATCACAATTGCAATCCCGTAAAAGCAGCCACTACACTGATTTTTACAATAATGACTTTCCTGCATTTTGAATAATTTAATCACCTAGGGCATATCTTTCTATTTTAATCTTATTCATTTAAAATTGTTTCATTTGATTTATATTTCACAGGGACTGGAGCCATAGCTCAGCAGTGGAACACTTGCCTAGCTTGCTAAAGGCCCTGAGTTCAATCCTCAGCACTGTAAACAAACAAAAACAAGATATATGTTTCATACTTCTCTTTGATCTGTAGGTTCCTCCTTCATTCCTTTTTTTTTTCCTTAAAGTTTCCTTGATGAAGAACCTGACTTAGAGAGATTCCCACAATTTGTATTTTACTGATTGAATATTCATGACACAACTCAATAGATGCCTCTGAATATTGGCACATGGATCCAGAGTTTTGATTAGACTCAAGTTTGCTCTTTTTTGCAAGATTTTGAGTCATGGTACGTTCTTTCATCAGACGGCACCTGCTTTTTCCCCCTTTATTTATTCATATATGTTGCAGACTGAGGATTGAACCCAGGGCCTCATGAATGCTATTCAAGTGTTCTACCACTGAACTATATCCCCAGATCTATTTTTAGATCTTATTTCAAGTCAGGGTCTTGCTAAGTTGCCCAGCCGACCTCAAGCTTGCAATCCTCCTGCCTCAAACTCCCAAGTAGCTTGGATTACAGGCATGCACCACATACTTGGCTTTTTTTTCCCCTTTTATGTACCAGTTTTCGAGATGATAAAGGTGTTTATTATCTTCCAGAAATCACTTTTTAAAAAAAGTATTATGGAGTAATATATTTAAACATATTTGATGGGCTTCAGTGCATTACAAATATAACTGTATAGAGACTCTGGTTGTTTAATTTTTGGCCATTAAGAGCCTAGTCAAGACAGTTCTGAGACCTTTTGACACTTTAATGGATTCTTTGCTGTCCTATATGACAAGATACTTCAGGGTGAACATGTATGTGAACTTGTATGTTTCCTGCTCCAGACTTTGAATCAGTCATTTCTTTAAGGGCCTGTTTTTTTGCTGTGAGAAATGGTATTTCAAACCATACTGTGAACTCTAAGGATGCTCCTTGCTACTAGATTGGTCATTGTTTCAAGGAGAGAGCTAGGAATTATCTGTATGTTTTTAAAGATAAAACACTTGATAAGTTTCTTTGCTACTTCCAAATAAAATTTGGTAGTATAGGGTTTTTACCTAAATTTTCTATTCCAAGAATATTCTGTACTTCCCTACTAAAAATCTTGTTTTTCTGGGCTGGGGTTGTGGCTCAAATGGTAGAGTACTCACCTAGCACACATGAGGCACTGGGTTTGATCCTCAGCACCACATAAAAAAAATAAAGTTGTTGTGTCCACCTAAAACTAAAAAATAAATATTAAAAAAATCTTGGTTTTCAAGGACACAGAACATGATAGAATAAACCATGATTACCTACTTCTTTATTTACCTTTTACATGCAACTGTGTCAGAATAACAATACTAATGCAATCATAACCAATATCATAACCACAACAACAAAAAATGTATTTGCTCTCCCCATTTTCCCTCTTAAAAAGTTGTATTATGTCAACATTTTTATAACATTGGTATATATATTTTAGTTTCTCCCTTTTATCTCCAATTTAGTCTTGCCTCTTCAAGTAATGATATATTTAACATTTGCTACCATTTTTCATTCAATGTACTATTTTTCATATCTGGCTCTTTTAGTGACACTTCTAGGACGTAGATTAATATTCCAATCTTGAAAGGAAGAAAAGATGCAAATAAAGATTAGTGGTATCAACTCCTGAAGATAAAATGTTATTTGACTTAGAGTTAGCTTGTAATTATAATCACTTAATTTAATTATAGTCACTGATAAATTTACTTTTCTCCTTGGACATAAATATAATCATACTCATGGTACCCCAAATTTTCTATAGCAAGTTACCCCTAACTCACTAAGTCTTGCTACTGTTTTTCCAATTAGTACAAGGTAATTGGAAAAATGTAAAGCCAAATAAAGTCTATAGGGCTTCATGTCCTCATTTTACTTTTTATTTTTTTGATAGTGCTAGGGGTCAAACCCAGGGCCTCATGCACCTAATCACGTGCTCTGCCACTGGAACTGTACCCAGCCACATCCTGCATTTTAGATAATGATTTCAAACTTTCTTTCACAGTTGCTAGCAAGTAACAACAGATTTTTAGTTTCACAACCTCTCTTCCTCTAATTTGGATGGTTCACATAATAAAGCAAAACCTGTTGGACAACAAGAACAAGAAGAGAGGAATTACTTAGAAATAATCATTGAACTGAAAATCTAGCCCTTGAAAAGTAGAACATATTTCTGAGCATTAGTAACTAATATCCAGACAATAACTTTGTTAATTCAGAGCAGTACAAAAGTCATATTTATATCTGTAAAATTTGATTTTAAAAAACATAAACTTTAAAAAATCTGTCTTTTAAGTAAAGCTTTAAGTCCTCTCCCACTATTAACCTCAGTGCAATTCTGAATCCTGACCCTGAATTCCTCTATTGATTCTCTTGCCACCTACAGGACAGATTAGGTGCTGGCCACCTGCATTATTCTGTGTTCTGAATTATTTTGAGTTTTAAAATGTTGAAGTGCAAATATTCATTGTTTCACTGTGCCTTTGGTCTTTTTTAAGAGGAGTGCATCATTCATTGTTTTAAAATAACCAATATTTGAAGTTGCTGACTACCAACAAAATTTCACTTGCTTTTTAAAAGTGCCTCAGGCTACAGCTTTTTCAAGGTTGTATAAGGGAAAAACTGATTCACATGTTATTCTTCCAGAGCTAAATTCTAACCTATGAAAGCCTATGGGATTTCTTTTTCGTATGTTTTTTTCACTCAGATTTCTAAAATGTAGGTGGAACACCTGGACTAATTGTACATACATGGTAAAGACAGAGCTCCATGTCAGATCTTCTAGGAGATTCTATCTCCAGTGATGTTGTTTGGTTATTGTTACGGGGTGCTAAATGTCTTCCATTATGAAGTGAGCTTATTCCAGTTTTTAAATGTTTATCATGTCATAATTGTATTCTCAAACACTGATGGTATTTTAAAAAGTACTAAGGAATTCATTCTTTTATTATTCAACTGTAAAAAACATCTGTATAATGGTCAGAATTTAAAATGTACAATTCTTTTTCTTTTGAAAATTGTATTATTATGGGAAATAAAGAATGGCAGGACCATTGTTTTCATTAAAATATCTACTGTGTCTATTCTTTCTTTCTTTTTGTACAGGGGATTGAACCATTGAGCCATATCCTCAGCCCTACTGTGTCCATTCTTAAATATTGATCTTGATAATTTTTTTAGACAAATCTAATATGCATTTTTCTTCTTCCCTGTCTCTTCCTCCTCCTTCTCCTCTTCCTTCTTTTTCCTTTTTTTTTTTTGTGTGTGTGTGTGTGTGTGTGTGTGTGCTGGGGATTAAACCCAGGACCTCATGAACACTAGGTGAGTGCTCTGCATTGAGCTTCACCCCCAGCCTTCACAGGTTTGTTTGTTTGTTTGTTTTGGATTTTTTGTTTTTGGTACCAGGGATTCAACTCAGGGTCACTCGACCACTGAGCCACATCCCCAGCCTTATTTTGTATTTTATTTAGAGACAGGATCTCACTTAGTTGCTTAGTGCCTTGCTTTTGCTGAGGCTGGCTTTTAACTTGCAGTCCTCCTGCTTCCGTCTCCCAAGCCTCTGGGAGAATTACAAGGGTGAACCACCATGCCCAGCTTTCAGAGGCTTTTTAAATTATCAACATTCGGCAGTATCAATCCCAAGAATATACATTCATTTATGCCATTAGTTATCAACTGCAGCTATTTTTTTGTCCCAGCAGACATTGGCAATGTCTAGAGACATGTTTGGTTGTCATAACTGGGGCAGATGTTCTATTGGCCTGAGATGTGGATACTGTTGGGTATGTGTGAGACTCCCTGCTGAAGTTAAGTTTCCCACTCGTGAGAACATCACGGCATCCCTTAGCCCTCCCAAATTCAAAGGTTTTCTCAACTAATCCCTGCAGGACACAGTGTCCGCTCGCTGGTCCTGAGTCACCCTGCCAATCAGCACCTGCCACGTCAACTACGCACCCCTTCTTAAGCCCAAGGTTGCAAGCTCTCTCCCTCTGCCTTCTTCCCCTCTTCCTCTCTTCTTCTTTCTCTCCTCTCTCTGCTCTCTTTATCTTTCTCTCTGCCCTCCTCCTCTCCTCTCTCTGCCCTCTGCCTCTCCTTTTCGGGCAGCCCTCCAATAAATCTCTTGGTTGAATCTCCATCTCGGGTGAGTCACTCGCCTTTCAGATACAGCTCAACACTCTACAGTTTACAGGTTAGCCTCTCCCAACAAAGAATCTGCCCAAAATATCAACAATGCCAAGGCTTAAAAACCCAGACTTGGCTAAGGTGATGCTGAGCACCATGCAGTTACTATTGGTTCTGCTAGCCAAGGACTTCATTGAAATTTAAAAGGTAAGATAGAAGGGCTGGGGATTGAGCTTTGTGGTAGAGCACTTGCCAGCATGCATGAGACCTTGGGCTGTGTTCCAAGCTCCTTGTGCATACATACACAAATACTACTAATAATAGTAACAAGAAAATGCAAATATTACACTACCTGCTAAATAAATACTAAGCTTTAGTTGGCTCTAGTTGTCATGTTACATTTGTTTCATGATACATGGAAACTTTTTAGATTTTGAGAGTACACACCAGAACAAACGTGTTATTCATATAACCTGTAGTAACTTTTATTATTAATTATTATTTTAAATAATAAATTTATTTTTTTAGTTGACACAATACCTTTATTTTATTTATTTATTTTATGTGGTGCTGAGGCTTGAGCCCAGGGCCTCACAAGTGCGAGGCGAGTGCTCTACTGCTGAGCCACAACCCTAGCCCCTAACCAGTGGTAACTTTTTGCTGACATCCTAAAAGGTAGAGAACCCAGGATCACTTGACAAGACTTAACTTATATCACTTAGATGATGATGATGATGATGATGATTTGATGATGATTTTTGGTGGTACTAGGAATAAAACCCAGTTCTCACCCCCCCCCCCCCCACACACACACCTTTTTTATACAGGGTCTTGCTCAGTTGTTCAGGCTGACCTCAAACTTGTGATCTTTCTGCCTCAGCCTCCTAAGTCACTGATATTACAGGTGTATGCCGTTAAACCAGGCAGATTATCTTTATTGACAAAAACCTTACAGAGGAATACCTGTGTCTGAGATACTTAGTAAAGAAACAAAATATTAAAAAGAAATATTTACTACTTAAAAAAAAGTAAGCTGGGAGCGGTGGTACATACCTGTAATCCCAGTGACTGGGGGTGGGGGGCTCGGAGGCAGGAGGATTGCAAGTTCAAAGCCAGTCTCAGCAATTTAGTAAGACACTAACCAACTCAGTGAGACCCTGTCTCTAATAAAATACAAAATAGGGCTAGGTTTGTGGCTCAGTGGTCAAGTGCCCTGAGTTCAATCCCCAGTACCCCTCACCCCCCAAAAGAGAATAATTTAAAGGAAGAAAAGTTTACTTTGGCTCATAATTTCCTAAGGTGAAGCAGAACATCATGGTGGAAGGGTGTGGCAGAGGAGTACTACTCTGTTTATGGTGGCAAGGAAGCCAAGAGTGAGGGGAAGGACCACAGGGAAGATGCACCTTCCAGGGCATGTCCCCAGTGATTGATCTCCTCCAGCCCTGCCCCACCTGCCTGCAGTTACCCCACAGTTAATCCATACAAACTAAGAGGGACTGACTAGGATATAGCTCTCATGATCTAATCATTTCACCTCTGAACATTCCTACATTTACAGGAGCTTTTGGGGGACACCTCATATCCAAGTCACAACAACCTTCAAATCTCACATTCTGCCAGATTCTACTGTGAATCCTGGCTATTCCTTCTCTAAGGCAGCCTTTCCCTCGCTTCAGAATTCCAGGCTGCTTTCGTATCATGGTAGTGGTACATCACAATGTGTTTCCTCAGTCACCTTTCACTACAGAACACTGGAGAGTTATTATTAGGTTTGTATATGAGGCATCCCCCAAAGCTCCGATCATAATGCAGAAATATTCAGAGGTAAAATGATTGGATTGTGAGAATCAGTCACACTAGAATGGGCTGAGTGATAACTGTAAGAGGGGTGTGTAGCTTAGGGAGGTAGGTCACTGGGGGCTTCCTGGAAGATTTCGTTCCTCTACCCTTCCTGGCCTTCATGAAAGGAGTGGTTTCCCACTGCCATGCCCTTCTGCTACTCACCAGAATTCTGGAGTTGGTGAACAAAGGACTGAACCTCTGAGACTATATAAACTTCTCTAAGTTTGTCCTTGTCGGATATTTTGGTCACAGCAATGAAAAGTTGACTAACACAGTTACACAGGTCATTTCTGCCCATCCCACTTGCCAAAGTGAGACTCGTGACCATGAATAATGTCAAGGCATTTGGGGAAATGCAATCTTCTCATGGAGAAGAGAACTGGATGTTGAGTTATCATAGAAATGCCAGCCATGGACATACAGGTCAAGTAGAGTTGTTAGAGAAGATGCAGAGGTCAGCATGGCAAAAATATTAAAAATATGTGTGGATGGTCGAGTGCTTGCCTCGTACATATGTGGCACTGGGTTTGATCCTCAGCACCACATAAGCATAAATAAATAAAAGTATTGTGTCCATCTACAACTAAAAATACTTTTAAAAAGTATGTGTGGAAAAGAGAGGGTGAAACGTCAAAATAAAACTAGATTTTTATCACAAAGTGATATTCATTTTTGGGGGGGTGTACTCAGAATTGAACTCAGGGTGAGACCACTGAGCCACATCCCCAGCTCTATTTTGAATTTTATTTAGAGACAGGGTCTCATTGAGTTGCTTAGCACCTTGCTTTTGCTAAGGCTGGCTTTGCATTCAAAATCCTCCTGTCTCAGCCTCCCAAGCCATGGGGATCACAGGCGTGTGCCACCGAATGCGGCATGAAGTGATATTCATTTTTGCCATGATAATTTTTAAATTAATTTTCCCCCAACTTTGGGATCATTTTACTAAATGATAGATCCATCAGTTTCTCAAACAGATAATAACTTTTTTGCAAATCATACTTTAGTATTCATTAATAAGTAATGTCAAGTGTATTCCCTATATCTTACAAATGTATTTTCTCATTATACTGTTTGTGTATCTCCATCAGAACTACTTGGGGTACTTGTTATAATAATGTTTCATTTTAAGGATTCTCAGATGTACAGAATTAGAATTTTTAAGTTCTGATGAATTCATCAACAAGGCATCAAAAAAATATTTGATTTTTTTTTTCATTTCTCATGACCACCATTTCTACAATTCTTTTTTTGTTTATTTTGGCAATGGGGGTGCTTACTAGGAATTGAACCCAGGGGTGTTTAACCACTGAGCCACATCCCCAGCCCTTTTTAATATTGTATTTAGAAACAGGATCTTGCTGAGTTGCCTAAGGCCTCACTAATTTGCTGAGGCTGGCTTTGAACTCATGATTCTCCTGCCTCAGCCTCCCAAGTTGCTGGGATTATAGGTGAGTGCCACTGCACCCAGTCATTTCTACAATTCTATTCGTAGTCATTGTCTTCTCTCTTGCCTGGATCCTTACAGTCATCTAGTTCATCTCTCTGCCTTCACTTTATGATATTATGGTCCATTTTTATACAGCAATAAAATCTTCAAAAGCATAAATTGGATTGTGTCGCATTCCCCTCTCCACTGCTGAAATGTTCCCAGGGCTTCCTGTTGTTACTAGAATAAAATCTAATGGCTTTTCCATGGCTTTCAGAAATGCTTCATGATCTGGTTTTTGCCTACCTCACCAACTTCATCTTAGTCTGCTCTCCCCACTAATCCCTATGGTTCAGCCATTGTGGACTTTAGGTTTATTAAACACACCCAGGAGATAGACCCTGCATCTTGGCACTTTCTTTTTCTTCTATTTAAAAAACTCTCCCCAGAGCTGGGCATGGTGGCAAATGCCTGTAATTCCAGCAATTCAGAAAGCTCAGGCAGGAGGATCACAAGTCGAAGGCCTCAATAACTCAGTGAGACCCTTTCTAGGCGGAAAAAAAAAAAAAGGTGGTGGTGTGGGGCTATTGATGTGGCTCAGTGGTTAAAGGCCACATCAGTCCCCCATACAAAAAAGAAAATAATATTTATCTCTTCAAAAATTTATCATTCCTTTATGA